AATTGAGTTACAGTTACAGTATCATGATTACAAAGCGGCAATAGTAAAACACAGTGTTCCTCGGTTGGTGTTTGCTGACATTACAATCGCGCGCGATTTGAATTTGGCGCGTGTTAATTGGAAACAAGGACGCAGTAAAACACTGTGTTTTACTACGCCCTGTTTATATTTGGTGCAACGCCAAACGTGGTGCAGTTATCGCTGATCATGTACAGTACTTCGAAGGCTATATTATTCCATGACATCACAAATCATGGCTCGCAACATGCTAGTCAATGCAGAAAGTTGCTCGCAGCTGGGAGCTCTTGAAGTGACATTTCTCTAAAATATCAGATTTTTGTTATGCCGGGAAAATGATTTATATAATAATTACAGTGAAACACGCAATTTGATTGGTCAATAGGCTATCCTGCACGAGGAATTAAAATGCTTTCGCGGGATTCTCAAAATGTCATTGTTTCACTGTGGTTATTACCAAATGGCTTTCCAAGCAGGATAGCGCGATCTATGCACTTGGGATGTTGCTCGACTTTCGGAAAGCGTAACGTGCATGGATTACGCAATCCTGCACGGAAAACCATTCGGTATTCCTTTACTGTTGACGTGCGTGTGTAAATTTTGTAAAAGTACATCGGCATCGATGCCTCCAGCGCCTAATCGATACATTTTCAACAAATTTGACGGGTTTTGTACTTTTTCCACTGCTACATCGTATGGCACTACAGGCCGAAATAACTCGCGGAAAAGATGTTTTTCCAAATTTATTATGTAAAACTCATATTCAGACATGGCAAATTAGGGGCACTTGCAGCATGGTTATCTTACAGCTGCACAAGACCAGAGTTAAATTTCGACTTATAAATGTCGCCACCGGTCTTGGCATAAGAAAAATTTTCACATGCCATTGCAAGACACTGCAGGAGGTTCGTAGTGGACACACGCCAATCTGATGCACAGGGTCTTTCCCCCACCCCCTCTGAGTTTTTGTTGGATCTGCATGAAACTCCTATAAAACTTCATTCACTTTCTTAGGCTGAACGGGCTGTGTGGGTAGAGTTCCAGAAACAAAAATGGGAATTCCAAAAGAAACAGAGAGCAGAAAAGAAGCGTCTTAGAGCTCAAGCTCTGGGAATGGGAATCGATTTTAGAGCTGGACGAACAAGACATGTCACTGGAATGTCGACATTTTTACAGCGTCAGGCTAAATCAATCATGGATCAATACTGGCAGTTGATACAAGTATGAGACTATAGTGTATTGTTTAATGCAGTTTTCCCCATTTCAGCTTCAGACTAATGCTAAGACCTATACTTTTGGACGCCATATTGAAATTGCATGTTATCTGTCAATGTTGAACTGGACTATAAAGTGAATGTAACACCAGTTGGATCTCCACACAACTCTTTTTAATATCCCTTTTACTCTGGCTATACCACAACTGAGGATAACTGCACTATACTGTAAAAAGTCAACGAAAACAGAGATTTATGTTGGAACTTTTCGACAGTCCCTCAAATTTGCTTCGAAAAGGCAGGCTGTTGCAGGTTGAAACAATAGGAAGCAAACCCCATGGGAATGCTCGGCCTAGTCCCTAGGCCTCTTAGTACGCCTATTTCGCGTTTCTGCATATTAATGAGATGACGGCTCCTGACTAGGGACTAGTCTGGGGAATGCTCTACGGGATAAGCGACTGGGTACGAGTCAGTGCGAACGCAACTTCACCCGACCTCAGTATGCAACTGGCTGGTACCCAGGGGCTATATCATGGGTTGCATTATAGATTGGCAAACAGGAAAGGGCTGTTGGGAAGAGTTTACTTGACAGCATACAATGAAAAACTACATAGCTGGTCTTTATGCGTATATTAACATGCTTTATATTGCAGGTTACAGAAACGGATACACCTGGATTATATAAACTCTGGGCCTTAATTGGCTCGGATCTTCACGCAATCAAAGTTCATATTCCGAGAATATTTTATGTGAATTGTTGCACGGCAAAGCCTGGAACAAGCTCTAGTAAGTATAACTTTTGCAGTGGCAATACGGTGTAAAGTTTGTGGTAATTAATCAGTTGACTTTTAGCCTCACTATTTTGAATCTTGTGGTGCAGCATTACACATTCAAAGGCTCTGAATAAATAATAGAAGTACTGACCTGAAAAAAACGTACGCAACGACATTATCTTTGGCAGTAATACAAAACAATCTGATGATATCCTATAAGCAAGTACAATAGGCAATTCCAGCTTTTAGTTTATGCATGCAGGGGACGATGGGAAGTAAGGTATCATATTGCTGATTATGCTGAACAAATAAAAATTGTGGCTGTGTAAACACGGAGTGATAGCTTATACTTGTGAATATTGAAATATTTCGGTTGCTTCGGTAGTTTTTATTGAAAATTTTCAGCATAATCAGCAATATGATACCTTACTTCCCATCATCCCCTGCAGGCATAAACTAAAGGCTGGAATTGCCAATTGTACGAATAATAGCCTACTGGAATGAATTCTTAGTAAAACATAGTAATATCCAGTAAAGTTTAAATTGAGGTACTTTGAATATTACATAAACGTTTTCTAATAACCCTGTATGAAAACATATCACTTTTAGCATGGCGTCGTGTAGGACGGACGTTGCCACGATCTCAACCTGCTGGACATCTGTATCAGTATTCAGTACCAGAAGCCTTATATAGAGAACACGCAAGGTAACTGTTTGTAACTTAGTAATTTTGCATTGTTCATACATGTAGACAAACCCCTGCCTCGTCCCCAGGCGCTATAAAACGATTTCACATACGAGTCACTATATAAAAGGTTTACATGAAGTGGTGCATCACATTATAGGCGCGCAATGGGGAATGGGATATGAGCGTTCTGGTGGCCCCTGCGCTAGTTCGTCGCGATGCACTACTTCATGTAAACCTTTCATATAGTGACTCGCATGAATTTTTTTATTAACGCCTGGGAACGAGGCAGGATAAACCCTAACGTTCAGATCAAATGTGTATTAACTTATATTACAATAAAATGTGGAAACGATTTTACCATTGTTCAGTTAATAGCCCTATTCACATTAGAGACGGACAAGTCGTCTAGACGAACAAATCGTCCATCAGTTTGTTCGGCTAATATGAATTCTAGACAGACAATTATGTTAGGGAGTGGTTACCAAGTAGGAACAACATGACTGCCATACAGCAACACCTTAGTAGCTGGCTATTGGGACGAGAACGTCTGATTTGCGAGAACTTGCTCACGACAAGAAGATCAAAGTACCTCCTCCTGGAAAACAACGATGAACACAGCTTCCTTGGAATTTTTCTTCAACGCCATGGTCTCTAACGTTAAAGCCCACGGTGTATCTCTTTCTTCGTTCGACGTTAAAACACTTACAAAAACATTTACCTCTTCTTCTGTCCAACTTTTGTTTTTACGACGTTTGGATTTTTGTCTTCGTCGACTTTGTTTTGCTGGACGCCATTTTGATTATCCCAATCACGCGCTAGTTCCATTCCCCTCGCTACTGCAATATGTTAATTTGTTCGTGTCTTTGTTCGACTTATACGAATCCGGGACGGTGTTCGATGACTTGTTCGTCTAGACGAACAAATCGTCCCTCAAAACTTCACAGACGGACAAGTAGTCGAACAAATTCAGACGACTCGTTCGACACGTTTTCACATCTGATGATTTGTCCGACCAAGACGATTTGTTCGTCTAGACGACTTGTCCGTCTTCTAATGTGAAAACGGCTAATGTTCAGTTATATTTAATACATAGTATTATAGCACTAATGAAAATCCGGACTTACAGATCAAACGCTTTACAGTAGTAAATATATACGTGGCGTTTCCACCAGCCAAAACAAATATTATCGCCATGCAAACACACAAAAAACTTATTACTATACCTCTACTTATTGAAGTCTTGAACACTCATAATATTCCTCCATTTTAGTGAGCTAGCAACTGATCTTTCCTCTCCTGATATTGAAGGAATCTATGAGTCGCAGGTGTGTATTTTTATGAAAAAACGTATTTTTATGGGAAACGACTAGAAAATAATTTTTTTCTCCAAAATTTAAAGATTCTATAACTATATATTCTCTTTCATATTGTAATATCCCACCATATTATTTAGCTGTGAAACTATTTTTCTGCAGGTTCCTTTACTGTTCCGTGCAATTGTGTCACTTGGTTGCGTTTGCTCTGTGAACCAGACATATGCACGACTGTACTCGGGGAGGGTAAGTGTTTAAGCAATTAACTGGAACTGCGTAATACCAAACTAACCTTTCCATCTGTACGTAGCTGTGCGTCATGCTCAGCCATGAAAGCCTTCAACTGGATCAGGTTTATCAGCGTCCTTCCTATAATCCGGCTCAGCTGCAAGCTGCATGAAGTTTAGCACAACCCCCTATTTAATACTTATATATACAAAAATCTAACAAAAATTGCTGGCTGCAGTATTTGTTATTTAACAAATATAAAACATTTTCCATGTTGATATGCAGTTACATCAACACGAGTGGGAATTGGGAAAACGAGAAATTGTGTGGCGAGTTTTCCCAATTTCCATGATGTTGATACAACTGCATATCAATACGGAAAAAATATTTTGTATTTTTTTTATAATATATAGCACAAAGAAATATAAAGAAAGAAATTTTCTGTGTTGACATTGAGTTATCAACATGGCTCTTAGCCAATCAGCGTTCAGAATTTACAAATGCTATATTATAATGGTTACCATCACATGCCAAACACCATTACGTGCCCTTACCGTTTCTTCGTTTATACCACGTTCTTTTTCTGCTACAGGAAATTGAATCTTTTGAACTGGATCAATTAGAATTCAAGACTCTAGCTGAATGTAAATATCTCGTGGAAGGAAGTGTAAAACATATTTATTTGTATCATAGTTATGGGTAAGTGGAATTCGTTTGTCCAGAAAAAAGTGTTTGGAAACATGTAAAGAATATTGTGTCATCGTGTGTATTGGTAAAGTACATAATTTTTAACTTATTTGCATTGCAGGAATAACAGAGCTATATTTGGAGTGTTTTTTAACCCAACACAAAAGGTATTTTATTTTCGTGCGTGTAGCCATTTACATTAAAGAATAAAGCTAAAGTCGTATCTTTATCTTCATCTTCTTAGTCGCTTTTCTCTGATCCACTATAATGCAAATGACATGACGTACAGTACCGCGCGAGGGTGGGCGTGATAGGGGCTTCTACACATTGGAGTCGGAAGTAAGCCAATTGAGGTTGAGATCAGCAGTATAAAAACCCAAAGATGCAATTTCAAATCCCGCCTGAAACGCGACCAATCTTTTGTTCGTTTCTACAGTTGAGAAGAGAAGAGTTTTATTAATCTCTCTGGAAAGTTGTCACAAACATATATTTCGTGTACTTAAATTGGATATACCTACTGTAGCTCCCTGTTGCATCGATCTTTTGCATGATTACTGCATGAGTTATTTATCAGTAACAGAGCGTTGAGAGGCTATAGGCTCTGATAAATACATGTTATACTGCTTTAAAATAACCATTTTATTTCGATTTACTCAATGATTTGCTTCATAATTTCGATGGTATGTGTAGGCATCATTCTTTGTTGTGGATACAGTGAGACGAAATCATATGCCTAATCTAGATTCACTCTACCATGCTGAAAGAAATGCAAGGTGAGTTATCATTCTCTAGGTGCCAATGTACATATCTGTAGGTAGCGATGATAACAAACAGCAGCGCTATGTAAATGAAATACAAATACTGTGTTATTTACTTTCGTTAGTTTAGTTCTTTATTATATAAGCATTATGATACACAAAAAGCTGTTAGAAGACAGCAAAGCTATCGTCCAAATATTTTGTGAAAATTAACTCACTCTCGCGTCTATATAACAAAACTATATAACAAAATATCTGCAACTTGTCGATTTGCCCGGAATGCATTGCGTGGCCTCATCTTTTTCGTTATCGTCAAGTATAAAAAGTTGAAAGGAACAGTATAACCTTCTCACTTCAAAGAACATGTACAGCTTACTACCTGCATACTACCTGAGCATTAATACAACCTATTGTTGTTCTAACTAGAATAAAAGGAGCATCAGAAGAAGGTGATGAGGAACCGATACTTACTCCTTCTCAACTACATTTTGAAGTCAGAGTAGACACAGACTCAAAACATGTAAGTTGAAAATAACCTATGTCCCGTTATATTGCATGAACATCTTGGCTATAGATGGGCTAGCTGTAGGGCACAACAACATCTTGGCACAGATGGGCTAGCTCATATAGAGAAAATGAGTTTATTTTTAAGTGTGTCGAGTTAAGCTTCTTGCATCATCTGAAATGAAAATGTTATTTATAAAGTGTGAATAATGGTTCCATATGACACATTTTATCTATGGTGTACCCATGCATTTAATGGAAATAGTAAAAATGACATTCATTTCTTTCATAACCGACTGGGACCATTCTTGCATGCAGTTCAAAAATAAAATTGGCAGGCCATAATTAATTTGTCCCGCCAAAAAGAAAAGAGTTTGTCGGGCCAATTGTTTTCTATTTTGAATCGTGTTTTCTGTTGTATACTCTTAAGAGTAAGACCGCACGTAAAATTTGTTTTGGCAAGGTAGGAACGGTGTGATTGATAGTAGAGTATTACGAAAGGGTAAACTATACTTTTGTCATGTCTTATTACTTTTCAGGCAATTCGTGCTATTCAGCGGGCACTCGCAAATTATAAGGAAGAAAAGAAAGGACCCACAATGATTCTTGTTCAGTCGTCATGGGGTGAGACTTAACGTTTTAATAATAATGTACAAGTAAAATATGGTATGTGGATAATGGTATGAATACTTATTTGCGCAACATAGGCACCCAGTAGACATGGTACATCATCATGCACAACAGCAATAATACATGCATAATATATACAGATGGTAATAATTGACTATGTTTAAAAATCGTTTTGCTTTTGCAGATAAAGAACACTTGCAAGCCGTTATTCCAGTCTTAAACGATTTTCCTGTTGTTTCAATTCCCAACAATGAAAGGTACGTTTTCGTCAGTATTGTTTTTGAAGGAACATTTAACAAATATAAAACATTTTCCGTGTTGATATACAGTTATATCAACACGAGTGGAAATTGGGAAAAGAGACTTTCCCCCATTATTTAAACGACCCTCATGTTACAATATACACTTGTTTTCCGTTTTACATGTTTATATTTTGTATCGTACAGCTCTCGATTTGGTTAAAGGATAACAATATAAAAACACAATTTTCTTACAATTATCAAAAATATTGTGCTACGTTTCTTCACTTTCATTCAATGTATTTCTTCATTCAATGTATTTCTAATATGTTCAAGTTCAATGAGTCGCGTGTATCACGCGACAAAATTGTTTATTATTTTTTGTCTCTTGATGCGTGCGCGTTCACGCTTTGACTAACTAATTCCATATAACAAAATAATTTTCGTCTTTTCTTGTTGAACTAGTGACACGCCATTCAACATTCTGGATTGGCAAAGACATGCCGCAAGAAGAGTCATTCAACATTACTTATACAGTGACACATGGTTACAGGTGATTAAATAATTCCGTAATCAAGATGAAAATTTAGCATTCTTCATTATAATTATTGCGTAATTAATTGAATCGAACGGGTAACTGGTAGGTAGAGGTTATTTCGCTGGCCTCAGAGTGACAAAACGTAACAAAGCAACGGTTATACTAGCACTAACCCTATTCCAAACACCAACCCTAACCCTAATTCTTACCCTGACCCTAACCTAACCCTACTCCAAGTTTGTTTCTAAACCAATCTTGAAGAAAACTTTTTTGACGAAATGTAATTCTGAGGTCAGCGAAATAACTTCTTCCTAACTGGTAATCACGGCATTGTTTCTTTTGTAATTGGGTGCGTTGTCGTTAATGGTGCCTACCAAATAAGCTCCCTCCATTTTTGGCTAAACTCATTTTTGACGTAATATTTCAAATCCGACTATGAGGACTGGACTAAAGATTTCAAGTCCGCGCAATAGACCTTTCCCCTTTTAAGTGAAATTTTGATCTAGACAAGTCTGGACAAAAATTTCATCACAGCTTGAAAGAGCATCACAAAATTAGTAATATTCCGAAGTTTCGTTGCAAAATGTTGTAAAATGCGGATAATATAGCCTTGCGAAGTTTGCCGTTTTTCAGTCATTTGCATTACAAACGGGAAATTGATAATCAGATGATCAAACTGATTATCAATTTCCCGTTTGTAATACCAAATGACTGAAAAACGGCAATTTTCGCAAGGCTATATTATCCGCATTTTACAACATTTCGCAATGAAACTTTGGAATATTACTAATTTTGTGATGCTCTTTCAAGCCGTGATGAAATTTTTGTCCAGACTTGTCTAGATCAAAATTTCACTTAAAAGGGGAAAGGTCTATTTGATCTCGTCCGAGGCGAAGCCGGAGACTGGATCAAAATGCGAGAACTTGAAATCTAGTCCAGTCCTCATAGTCGGATTTAAAATGAAATCTCATACGAATAAATCACTTATCATTTAGTATACTAAATAATTAATTTTGATCCAGTCCAAGGACTGAATTAATTTTGATCCAGTCCTAGGACTGGATCAATATACTTCATCAGGTATCCAGTATTATTATGTGAGCAAAATAAAGCAATATGGTTTGCTAATTTAGGCATGAATTATTAATCATCACTTTCGTCTTAAATTTGCCAGCGAATACTGTAATGTTTAAAACGTTGTAGACGGTTCGGAGAGCTATATTTTTCAAGTTACATGCCAACAGATATTTGCTACATAGAAAAACTAATTTAAACATCTAACGATACATGTGTTCTGTATTTAGGCCCAAGTTGAACATGCAAGATACTGCCATATACCAGTTGGAAACATTTCTGCTGACGCTGCAGCTTTTGCGAGTGATGTATTTTTTGCACGTAATCTTGGGAAAAGTAATCACGTGGTATGGCTATCTCCTGGAGAAAGACCTGATTTGGGTGGCAAGGAAGAAGATGATAACAGGTACTTAGTCATTTACAGTAGTCAATTCCAAACTGTTCCATAAAAGTCCTGCGTATAAGCTATAAAACCGTGCAGGCAGGTGTTCGTTCCGTTTCTCTTTCGTCTGCCGCTGTGGTAACCTTGTCTTATAACGACCTTACAGGGCCGTAGAAACCGGGAGGAGGGGCTGGGGGTGCACAATTTGTAAACTAGCGATAATCTGTAAAGTTTGAGAGGGAAATAATGACCTATTAATCGCCCCTGGCTAATCAGCCCGTCCCCCCGCCCCCGCCAATACAAAATTGCTTCCTACGGTAGTGCCTTATAGTGCTTGCAGGTATGCATATGGAATTTAATTTCATCCCGATTTTTATGACAGACATGCCAAAGACACTTAATAGTGGTGATTTATCAAAACAAGTAAATAAATTCTGAAAGTGAGTCTTGTGTGAGATAATCCATTCTGTCCCTTCTTTAAAAATATAATAGTATGATAAGATAAGTATATCTGTATATCAACACATACACATGAAAATTCGAGCGGACGTTTCCCCTCCTGGCAAATACATACTCTGGGATAAAAACGTTCCTGAATTATTGAAAAATACACCTTCTCAACGAGTGATGGTGTATCTCGGTTATCATAGACACATTTGTAGAAAGAAATCTTGATACTCTGTAGTATCTGGTGGTTTTAATTTCGTATTTTGAGCATAAGATGGTGAATTTGTGACAAAACATTTGTAGACCAGGTTTGGAATTTGAAGAAGACGACAGCACTGTCGAAGTGAACAGCTCTGGTGCCTATCCCACTGTTTGTATTGAATTATCCTTGGATGGACTCGCAGTCAATGCTGTTTTACAGGTAGTTGGCCTGCTTTTCTATTACCGTTTTTCTGTTACCCGTCTGGATACATCATACGTCTTCTATATTATTCGTGTAGTTTAGAGACGAATAATCCGTCGAATTGTAGGACGAATAAGCTATCTTTGTTTTGCGGCTTAAATATAAAGACAGGCGTTTGGAGTCTAGACGAACTATCATCGATTGTGCTTAGTTCGTCTATAGTCTATAGATGCATGTGTCTTGTGCTCGTCTTTATTCTGTTCGAAGACGCATATCCAGACGAACAATAATTGTCCAGACATATAATACTTCTCTAGTAGAGTGGGATTAAGTAAATGTTACATGGAAGTAGGAGAGATGAGAAGCCACATCAACAGTTCACCAAATATAAAGGGTCCCTTTGTCATATTGGTAATCAGTGAACGTATTGTTGGAGGATATTTGAGGATAACAATAAACTCTTTTGAAATGAAACTTCCTGACGATAAATTAGAAAGGTTATGAATGATCGTTTTCCGTTTCAGTCATCCCATATAAACGACTATGAAGGTGGGGCAGGCTCTGTCGTCAGTTTTGAAAATATCGCCCAGGTAAGTTGAAGACAATGGAATTATTCTGGACCCAATGGAATGAATAACATTTTATCGGTTATCAGATTCTGTTTTTCCCATAATTTTAACTAATTAGAAAATTTAGAGCAGAGAACCTGCCTAATTTAGGAGAAATAATCTCAGTTGTTATAGTATTATCTTATGACTATGTATGAGAACGTGGCTCAAACCATTGTGTTGAACTAGTGCCCACATATTAATTAAAAATCGAAAGTGAATTGTTTACAATAAAATATCAAACCAAAGCCCTTCTCTATGACCAAACAATAGCGAAGTTAAATAGACCGAGGAAATTAGCTTGAAAAGAGAATTTTATAGAATTTTCAAATATTTTTGTACTTGGCTTTTTAACAGTAGGCCTATTGAAGATTCTGGGGATGAGGCGAAATTTCTGTGTGGAAATTCTTTCACTCGTTTGAGGATATCCACTTTTTTGTCCACTGCTGAATAGAATGAATAACATTTTCAAGATATATTTGGAATATGGAATTCTTTAGAAAACAACACAAAGCATGCGGAATATTTTTACAATTTTGTTCTGGCAATGTGGAATTCGTAAGCTCCGAAATTCCGCCTTATTCCCTGGTGAAGATCCTTACAAATCCCTGTGGTTTCCATTTCAGAAGTGTAGTGTATCTTTTCATATATGATGTACCTTTAGGTCTCTTTGGAAGAAATGGTTACAGGTGGAGGTGGTGCTGCTGCCAGCAATTTAACTGCTTACGATGAATCCGCTCTTTGTGCCAGTGCTTTCAGGTAACATGCCCATAATAGGTGCGAGTAGATTTTAGTGTGTATTTTGAAGTTTGAAAATTAAACCTAGAGAGATGCTTGACTTTTCGTTTCCATTCGGCCATAACAGTCATGACCAAGTCATGCTCACCAATGTGAAATAGTCAATAGATCTATCTTGTCTTTTGTGTGCTCTATGCAAATCAGTCTTTATTGATTGATACATTCACGACCGACAAGGCAAAGTGAAAACCAGGCTTATTGGAGACCTTACGATGTAGAACAGCAATGTGACGACGACGGCTATTAATAACAATGAAAATTATAATATACAAAGTCATACTGTATTTTTGCAATTTTAGGGTTTTAAAATCAATGATTCATAGTTGGTTACATGAAGTATCGTCCTACCAGAATCCATATGCTGATCTTCACTTGGTGCATTTTTACCGGTAGGCTACGTAAACCTGTACACCTCATTTATTTGACTTAATTGACTTATAACTGGACTGACCAACTCAGCCTCAGCCAGGTTGAATTAACTTGGTCTACAGTATGCTTAGAACGCTGCACTGGAATCGCAGGCGCAGGTTCGATTCCTGCCAGAGGGCCTTTGGTTGCATTTTCTGTAGCTGCTGCGGGTTAGGTGTAAATAAATGTAAAATTTACACTCGAAATTTCAAATACAAAATGCTTCAACGAGTGATATCTCCCAAAAACCTGAAATTGTAGCAAGTAAACATTTTTTTAAATGTTTAATAATAATAATAAAATAATATAATAATAATAATAAAAATATATAATAATAGAATTCGAATTTAAATCTGTTACGATAAAATCGAATTTTATTACTATGGCGGGTTAGTCTTTTTATACGGGCCTCATTTGAACCGCAATATTCACCAGATGACAGCATCAACAAAACCATGCACAGCATCATGGATTGTTTTCACACTACGTATATGACTGCAGGCCGCACCTGCTAGGAACGAGAAGCTATTTTGGCAACGGCGCGCACGAATATTTTTTCTCTTATCATGACCCTAACCCTATTTTGCGCGCAACATGAGGATATATCGCCCGATATAACCCTCTTTTCTTTAGTAAATGAGAACCCGCGTTTTTTATTTCGTTCACAATTACTACAAAAAGCATTACTATAAAGGTATACGTATACGGATTTTTACTGTATTTTCTATCTTCGTAGATGGCTTCAAAATCCTTCGTCCTTACTTCACGATCCAGCTCTTTTTCGTCTGGTGCAAGGAATGATGAAGAAACTATTTTTACAAGTATGTGATTTAAATAGGTTCTTAATTTTGTAAATGCAAGGTGTTAAAATTAAAATTTGACTTTCACTTGTATGAAAATTGCGAGTCTCGTCCCCATGAAGCAAAATCTGTACGGGTACAAATCAACCATTGAATAAAGCGTGCGTTTAATGAAAGCATTTTTAATATAAGTGGAAAATATATGTGTGTCTCATGTGTTATAACAACTAATTTTGTTCCCTTTTCTAGCTAATTGCGGAATTCAAAAGACTTGGTTCCACAGTAGTTTTTGCCAACTTTAACAAAATCATCATTTGCACAAAGAAAAGAAGGTAGTGTATGATAACAATCTCTAACATTAAAAAAATATTGAGGGCCGTTCAAATTAGCCCAACATAATCCTACGTTGTTGGATCATGCAACGTTGTTGGTTCTGTTTGAATATTAGGGAGCTTTAGCAGCGAGTACGAGTATACGAGATTTGTCAATGCGAAACGCATGCGCTCTACGCTCACGCCATCCCGTACTGACACGAAAACGTTTTGGCCGTCGCTCATCTGCGTACGAAATTTTGGAGAAATCTCGTAGTCCTCACGACGACTTTTTAAAAAAAACCAAAGAAAGTTGGCTGTTTTTGTTTTTCAAAAATAATTTGTAGCGTTTGTCCGGCGCAAATAATCTCTTAATACTAATACTAATATCATGACTTATTTGCACATAATTCGTGTATTGTTTCTCGTATAGAAGGGGCTAATTTTTGTAGGGAGATTTAGTTTATAGAAACTTTTTCTCTCGTTGTTTGTTTACTGCTATACAAGCAACATTTGAACAGAAACGAGAACGACTACGACTTCCTCGCACGCGATCAAATCTCGTACTCGTAGTCGCTGTTAGCTAAAGCTTCCTAATATGTTCGGTAATAATGGTTGATGTTGGAAAATGTTGAATCACGTTTGACTTTATTCAAAGTTTTATCCAGCATCGTTCACCATTGTTGGAATGGTGAACGGGGTCTTTATTGAAGAAGCGCTAAGATGTTTCAAACGAAAAGTTCGTTCTTGTTTTCAGTGTCTCCGATGCATTTGGGTATATCAATTTTATTCTCAAGAGTATTCAGTCTAAGGAGTTGTTTCAGAGCCTGGATATCACTGCAACTGGATGTTGGGAATATCTGTTGTGGATGGACCAGGTATACTTTTTAGATGCCATGTAATATAATATTTTGATTACTTGATGTTTTATTTGATTAACTATATCAATATAAGTCACATATTATTAGCACTGATGAAGATCCGGGCTTACGGATCGAAAGCTTTGCAGTAATAAATTTACGTGGTGTTTCCACAAACAAAACCTATTATATTTTATCACCATGCAAACATACAAAGAACTTATATCAATATAGTAGTATAAGGATGGTGCAGCATTGATTATATGAACTCGCTTAATTAAATTGAGTGAGCCTGTAGTGCTGCGCGCTTATTGAAGAATTACACTTTTTCGTGGCTGATCCCGCAAAAAAGGTGGAACGATGTGGGTCCACAGTTGGGCTTGACTAGTAAATATCTTCTCCTGGCCATCTGTTTTGTTGATGAAGGGCGTGTGGTTGTTGGTGAAAAGACCTGACTGTCGAACTGTTTTAACTTAAAATCGAAATGTGAAATTGTAAATTTTAATTATGCCCTCCCTTGAACGGATATAATAAATGAAAACTGCTGTGTACAAACTTCTGATGCTGAACTGATATTGAAACTGACCAAGACCTGAAAGCTGTATAGTACTTATTCAAATGGCCCTAAGCAGGGCCTCCCAGTGACATATGGGTGCTGGGAGCAAAATATAACTTTGGAGCCCTATGGTGCTGTTGTCGTAGGAATGGCAAAATCCTGCATTCTTGGAGACTAATTGACAGTTACATCTATATATGCATATTTTATTTTTATTGGCGCACATGAAAGCTCTAGTGCTTGTTCAAATGTCCCTCAGCATGGATTTAATGATGCAAATATGATTTCCATATATGGATTTCACTATTTTTTCCAATAATTACTATCTTCTTTAGTTCTATTCCTTATCTTATATCTATACCAGGCTAACCATGGTGGCGTGAGGGGTAAAGTTCCCAGAGATGACGATGAGGATGATGATGAAAATGACAATGAAAGAAGTGGTGAATCCGATGTTGAAGAGATTGGTGATGAACGACGACGACGTGAGGTGATTTGGATAGATGTTATATTTTTGTGCGCATCAATCCAATATTTACAGATTCCACTCTGTGTATGCCATTTAACTTCCAGTTTAAGTCGCAAGTACTAGTTTAACAGAAGGAACGAGCCAAGCCAAAGAAAACAAAGCAGCCGCGTCGTGACGTTGTAATACTAATATTATATGTTGTGGTTACTTTTTGCTTTATATAGCCTCAAGTTGAAATGAATTGGAATATTTGTAAATATTTACCTACGTCTGCTTCATGTCAAAACTTCTTTCAGGTGAGCTAAATTAATCCATATTTATTGAGACTAGCTGCATCCGTAAGACTAAGAGTATTGCTATCAATGTACACCCTGACATAATAAGCCAAGCTAAATTAGTACAACAATCAATTAAAAAAAAAACACTCGTAAACCTGCCTCGTACCCAGGCGCTATGTGCTGCTGCTGCTGCTGCTGCTGCTATAGCTTGCATGACCTTTGCTATAGCTTGCATGACCTTTGCGGTAGGCCGTGTGGATTAATTTGATCAATTTCCAAACGATGTAAAAGATTCCTGGTATACATTTCTACACTGGCTTTCTAATTTAGATTGTAATAGCAGGACACATTCATGCTATTTATAATCATCTTTTGGCTGAAAGACGACTAATTGAACCCGGTTCCACTCCAGTTAGAAAACGCAACGGATCATCTCAATCTCAGGTAATTGACTTAATGCATGCAGCGCTGTCCATCTTTATATTTCTGGCAGTGGCAACATTATATGCATGTGATTACGACTATTTACAGTATAATTTTCCCCGCTTGAGGTAGGAAATCACAGGTTCGCTGTGGTCGGTCGATTCCGGCATTCTAAACCAAAAGAACAGTATACATGAAAAAAGCACTTATTCTGATTGGCTAAGAGCAGTGCAATTATTCTTGAAATTACACTGCAGGCAATTACTGCATGCAGCAATTTGGAGTGCAATTAAGAAAAAGAGACTAGGGCCAACCTAGTTCCTGGGAAAGAGGTTGGACTAGAGCTAGAAAGAAGAAAGGTCACCGTGGCGGAACATTTGACTCTCGAACGTCAGATTTGCCTTTGTAAACCCTCATCTTTTCAACCACTTACTGTATACTTTGAATTGAACATTCCACGTGAATACGAGAATTTAAGTACAAGGAGCACTTACACTGAGAAGGTTGCTGAAAGGTTGCAAACAATGCTTGAACGGGCATAGATTAATGTGCAATATTATCGAAGCGTGTAATTTTTTCATGTATATAATTAATTAGTAATGGTTTCTTGTACAGTTTGGAATCACATACACATGTGAGTATTTCAAAGACAGAACCTTCGGACTTGTGCACTTTTCAAAGTATTTGATGAAAAGTCGTTCCTGGTTTTTTCAAATTGCACTCGAAGCCTTTCTATTACCTATATTAATTGCTACCTATGTAGTTATTAATATTTAAAATGATGGTATTGTAATATACATGTTACAGCATGTTGAATTGCCTTGTACGTAATATTAATTAAACACCAATTTTTGTTATACGTTCAAAGAGAATGGCAGATTCTTCAGCAACGCCAAGTCTAGTGTCTTTCACTCAAAAACGAATTGAAGAAGATCTAACACAACAACTTTTTACGTAAGTATATCTGCAAGTGGTAGTTGGAATATTGTGGATTTTTTTCTTTATGCTTGCATTTAGCGTATAGGCTAAATCTACAGAGCGTGCAGCTCGTTAGTAAACAGACGTGAATGACCTTGGACCTTGCAAGCTGCATAACAGTAAATTCAATTACTTGTTTTTGTTACAGTATAACTCAGAAAATCCAACAGACATTGTCAGGTGACAGACATTCCCGAGCTGATCCTAGTGTAGAATTCCCTTTGTTACCTGGCTCACATCTGCCTCTTAATAACCCTGCTTTGGAGTTTGTGAAATATGTTTGTAAGGTAATGCTGTCAATGTTATATTATTAAATTTTTGTTTGTTGCATATTATAATGTTGTTGTAATCATATTGTAGGCATTGTCCTTGGACTCCAATACACAAAACCAAGTCAACAAACTTCGGTAGGTTGTGCTCTGTAATTGTTTTTCAGCGTATGTTCAATACCCTAAATTTTAGGCATGTTCCTGTTAGTGAGCCCAATAATTAATGAACCCTCTATTCTAATACAGTCACCCAAGGGACAGAGCAAAGTGTCCGTAATATATAGCTGACGTTTTAAGTGTATTTGGGAGTTGTACGTGAGGAATTGCAAAAGATGGTAACCTTGTACCCAGGTAAATTTTGGATGTCAATTTCAATCCCTCGTACAGGTTACCGCAATGAAGGTTTACTCAGTCTGGTTGATAAAATTGGAGTATGGGGCAATATTTTGTTTCATGGACGTAGTTATAACTTTAATATAAGATAAGAAGAATAGTTGAAAAACCTCGTCTCTCTATAAAGTATAAACTCCAAATTAAATAAAAATGAAATACATTCATTTCGGACGCGATTCACATTCAGGTAAAATCCTTCGACAAACCCTGTCTGCCAACTCCGCATGTATTGCGACGTTGTTGTGTAGGGTTGTTATCAATTTACAGTGCTGCAGAATTTGTTAAAAATATAATTTGATTGCCACCAATTATTGCAAGTTCAATTGCAAACATTTTTTGTTTTTTAGACGTGATCTACTCAAACTGATAGGAGTTGGTGAATTTTCTCTTGAAGCATCATTCAATGATCCCTGCTTATCATTTGTTCTCCCTGAGGTACATTTTGATATACTTCATGTCATATTAGTACAGGCAACTACGTGTATTCAGCTCACTCAAGATTTCTAATTAAGTGAGATGCCCAAAATGTAGAATATTTACCTTTGTACTCTGGCATCACCCTAGTATATACATGAACTAGGGTGATGCCACTGGACTCTATAGCTGCATGGCAGAACGCTGCATCAGAATCGCTACTTCGTCCGCAGGTCATACAACGCGTAATGAGAATGCCCGTTCGCAGGTTAAAATTTGAAATCTGAGACGAAGCGCTGTAAGTCCGTTTGTTTCCCACCAATTATATATTTTTGAAAGGCCTGCGGAGGAGGTAGTCAGAATCGCATGCACGGCCTCAGGTTTGCATTTCTGCTAGAGTGAATTAAGTTGCATTTTTCGCTACTGCTCCTGCTTAGATATAAAACTATATATGTATACATGCAGTTTTCGCTCGACGTTGTCATCAACAAAAACTTTCAACTAGTTTAAAACACGTCATCATGATCTTGTAGTTTATGGCTATGCTCGCGTCACTACGAAAATTTCACTACGAAATTTCTCAAGAATGCCGTTGTCAACGTACGTTATTAACATGCAAGTATGAGATCGCGTGTGCAAACATCAAATCTCGTAACTTCTTAAAAGCTCATTTAAGAGTTCTTTTAGCTTTTAAATCTTTTAAACGCTCTTTTAATTTATTTTTAAAAAATGTTGGAAAAATATTTGAGCTATTAAAATAGCTGAAACATTGTCCCCAACAATTTATTAAAAATCGTTTGGAAACTTCACACTCAGCACATAACGTACTGTACATGCAGAAACCAAATTAAAGAAAGTCTTAAAATGGTTTGTTTTATGCAAAATGTTTTTGAAAGATATACATAACTAAATTTTAGGTAATCTGTACTTATTGCAATGGTTGTCGGGATATAAATCTTTGTCGTGACTCTTACATCGTGCTGCCTGAAGGAAATAGACCGTAAGTTCCACTGGGACATAACATTACATATCTTTACCAATAAGTCCATAATATAATTTAAGCCCCGTTTACACTACGCTCAATTTTTGGTACCGTACCACTTTTTGGTTCTTGGACTACCTAAATAGGTAGTCCAAGAACCAAAAAAGTGGTACGGTACCAATTTTATCCGTGCCGTACCAAAAATTGAGCGTAGTGTAAACGGGGCTTTAGTGTATTATTATACCAGGCTAGTAACAATCGTTTCCATAAGCGACTGGAATTTTGCGTTACTACGATTGAACTATATACGGCCAGCGTGCCCCCGCCCCGTACAGTTTAAATGTATTATATAATTCATGGATACTGTGGACGTTTTAACAGGTTTCTATCACTGTTCCCGGAATCCGTGGTTTCTATGAACAAGTGTCAGTCCAGCAGTCGTCAAATGTTTCTTGTTTGTTATTATGCACAAATGCAAGATACAGTGCCTTTCCAAAAGTTTAAATACGTGCTCAAGATGTTAAACAGCAAAGTGATGCACCATCCACTTTTTAACTTTATTTCAACTCACACAATATTATACGTGCGATTGTCAGATAGCCCTACCACACTGTTAAGAATTTGATTTAAACCAATGTCAAGCTAATATTGACCGTATAAAAAGAACAGCAAGTTCGGCAAATATTTATATCAATGTCAATACTTTGTTGCAAATCCCTTTGCCTTAATGACTTTGGAGAGTCTGCGTGGCATTGATTTAATGGTTGCCATTAACTCCTTTTTAATTACGGATTTCAAGTCAAACGGTGTTCGTGGTGGAGGGTTCGCTTTACTAATGTGGGAGAGGAAAATCTTGCATAAATAGGGCAACATTCGCATTTTAGCATAGTGTATTTAAACTTTTGGAAAGGCACTGTATCTTCTCCACGATATAAGACACGCGTACGCGTAATACAAATTCTAAAGAGTGTTTATATGATCCCGTCACTTATCCCGCCTAAACAAGATGAAAAATTCCCATATAAACACTTCATCCCGCCTAGCCGGGACGAAAAATTCCCATATAAACACTTCATCCTGGCTAGGCGGGATGAACATTTACCTTTTGAGCATGTGTAAGTGCCTTTATTACTTGCAACAAAAATATGACGTCAAGCACTTAAATGGCTTCATCTCGGCAATGTATTTTGTCCATATAAACACTAGGCGAGTTTCCCGTCTAGGCGGGATGAAAATGTCCCGTCTATAGGCGGGATCATATAATCATGTTATTCTTTTCTTTTAGTATTGCATTACAATGTCCTTATTGTCACAATGAGTATGATATGCAGGCTATTGAACAATTGCTCATTACTAATGCTCAAGAGAAATCAATGGCATTTGTCCTACAAGATGTAGCATGTTCGAAATGCCGGGGGGTAAGTGTTGCACCATAATAATGTAGTTTATATAATGTGTTTGCCAGAAAACTTATTATCTTTATTTTTAACCAGGATACCCCCGTCGCCGTAGTATTTTCAGTTAAGAATTACATTAGTACAGTACTTAGCGATATATCTACATCGTTATTTACAATACATAGCCAATTGCATGTGATTCAATTCTATAGTAAGTGTGTTCAGGTAAGAATCGGACATAAAACGAAATTAGGAGACGGAATGAGAAGATAAAGATATAAAGGTGCAGATGAGGAAAAGAATTGAAAACAGAGCATCAGGAGAACTCTACAAGTTTCATAAGGAATTAGCGTTTTTAAGTCCGGTTTATAAGGTTTTAAAGTCGATAGAAGCCTGGTACGTCGGTCTCTGTAAATTACAAACTACTGTCTTAATCTTACAGTGAAAATACAAAAAGTGTCCCACTTCCGCTTCTGTAGTTTGTTGTGATTTACTGTAATTTGTTCTGTTTTTCTGTAGCGATTACCGATTTATCGGCAAATACTGCGATAAAATTTAAATTTCGTTCCTTTTATGCAATGAAACTAACAAAAAATGTATTATTTCCTTTTGCTACAAATTATCATATTTAAAAATAGAAAAAACTAAGTTTTATCGCGGTATTTGCCAATAAATCGGTAATCGCTACAGAAAAACAGAACAAATTACAGTAAATCACAACAAACTACAGAAGCGGAAGAGGGACACTTTTTGTATTTTCACTGTAAGCCTGCCCTCTCATATACAACCATCTCTAATAGGCTCCCCTTCCTTTTAGAGGAAGAAATTATACTAACCGTATATAAAAGGCTCCTTCATGCATCTGACAATGTCCTTATTGTCACAGTGCTGAAATAAATAACGCCGGAATCTAATAGAAGATTTACGGTATTCGTCCCCCTTCCTTTTAGGGGAAGAAATTATACTAACCGTATATAAAAGGCTCCTTCATGCATCTGACAATGTCCTTATTGTCACAGTGCTGAAATAAATAACGCCGGAATCTAATAGAAGATTTACGGTATTCGTCCCCCTTCCTTTTAGGGGAAGAAATTATACTAACCGTATATAAAAGGCTCCTTCATGCATCTGACAATGTCCTTATTGTCACAGTGCTGAAATAAATAACGCCGGAATCTAATAGAAGATTTACGGTATTCGTCCCCCTTCCTTTTAGGGGAAGAAATTATACTAACCGTATATAAAAGGCTCCTTCATGCATCTGACAATGTCCTTATTGTCACAGTGCTGAAATAAATAACGCCGGAATCTAATAGAAGATTTACGGTATTCGTCCCCCTTCCTTTTAGGGGAAGAAATTATACTAACCGTATATAAAAGGCTCCTTCATGCATCTGACAATGTCCTTATTGTCACAGTGCTGAAATAAATAACGCCGGAATCTAATAGAAGATTTACGGTATTCGTCCATGCAGATTCATTCCACCTCCACTGTCATGTGCAGTACATCGATAGTACATGTTTTGTTACTTGGACCGAAGAAAACTGCTTGTTTTGTGTACAGTCAAATTTTTCGACTTTCACTGGATAAACTTTTAACCAACAAGATAATACAAAATGTAGTATATACACTTGATATACAGTATAAGAATCTATATTGCTTAAGCAATATGTTAAATGCGCACTGGTCGTGTCCCTCTGATATTTTGACAAGCATTTTGAAAATACATTCATTCATTCTGTTTTCGGTTTTTACAGGTCAAAGATACTAACATGGCGTCATACTGCCGTTGTGCTGGAGAATTTGTCAACACCATTCAGAGGGAAACATTCCGAGAAAAAGTGAAAACATTTCAAAATATTGCCAGGTTTGTTACCAATATGGCTCGATTTCCTATACATCTCTTCGGGTATTAATTTTCCTAATTGTGCTTTTAGTATGTTTCTGACATTTTATATACTTCGGTTACTTGAACAGGCATTAAAAGTTCATTTCAAATGGATTCAGACAGTGCGTTCTCTTGTGGAAACGTGTACGGTCTGGATTGTGGAAACGGTGTACTGTCACCTTTCAGCCATAGGGTAGCAATAATAAGTTTGTAGTTAGGAATATGGCTAGCGTTTTTGGGATAGGGTTAGGCTTAAGAATAAAATTTTGATTTTTCGTCTGCACCTTTCACCTCCGTTCAAATTATTTTCAAATTTTATTTAGCAATTCTCAAGGATAATACAAAGGGTTTATAATGTTTAGTTATTTCTCTAATATTTCGGGCAATTTTCAGGCTTTGATGTTTTTTATTGATATTGTTCTTTCGTTGATGTTCTTTTTTCTTCAGGTTATTAATTGATGTTGTTTTTTCTTTGTAAAGATTGCTGAAATAACTGAATGTTAAATATTTTGTATTATCCTTGAAAACTAAATGAAATTTGAAAATATAATTTGAAATTTATTTGGGTTCACAGTTTGGTATGAATGAGAGTATGAAATCCAATCCCTGTCCTTTTACAAAAGCAGATTACGACAGCACTTCTATTTTTGAACCGTTTAGGTATTACAAGTTTGGACAGCTGCTAGAAATCGTCGACTGGATACTTCAAATGAACTGAACCAAGAATATGTTGGTCAATCATTCGAGTAAAAAGAACTTTCCAAATGTATCATTAAGATATTGCATTTATCATAGGTAACGTTTATTGTACTTAACCATTTTTAATCTACAACGATTCATATACAAATGTAAATAATACAAATAATTATTTTGATATCCACAAGACACAAATCTGATTGTTGCTACTTGTTCAATATTCAATAACCAGTGAGAATTAAGTGACAAAAAATGTTGATATTTTTTCGCGAAGCCATTTAGAACTATAGAGTAGACTATAGCATGGTTAAAACTATGACTACTATGACTATAGTAAGGCAACTCTTCCTCTATACGCAAAGAACTTCTATATAGAAGAATATCATGGACTCAAATTCAATTTATTCAATCGACAGTCATATGTTAATACTTTAGGACGTAAACAAGGCCAATCGAAGAATTAAATTTTCATGCTTTGAAATTTCTAAACGTTGGCATATTTTTTATGCTATTGTAACGAGTATACTCGAATAGATTATTTAACTTCAGCTGTATGTCTTCCGCCATGACAGTTAACAAGAACGGCCAGGCCAACGTTTCCATCCACTTCCTCCATGTTGTTCGTTATATAGCGCCTAGCCGGCCTAGGTACAAGACAGGTTTACATTCAGTGTCCTTTAAAAACCAGAAGACTTTGTTCGCAGGTTACTTGCTTCAGAAAATGAAATGGAGTGATGATGAAAATAATATGTATCGAAACTGGAACCAGTAAAAGAAGTGGATATCAAATTTGTACACCAGCTAAGGACTGGTAGCGAGAGGCTGTTTGGATACCAAAAGTGAAGACGCATTGAAGTTAACAGACAAGTGCTAGTTATCTGTCTGAACTATAATCACAAACATTTTCGTAGTATTTTGTACTTAATTTGAAGCGTGGAGAAAGACATGCCTTCAAGCCATTCATCTATCGTGATGGGTTAATCAGACTCAGCCGATTTGGATGTCCCATTGCCATTGTGGTAGAACGTTTCTCAAGATCTCTCCTTCTAAACTCCATGTATGGCTTCTTCAACGTAAGTAGCAATCCACCGCCTACTCTGTCTCTTGTTGAGAGTGTGGACGTAACCCGGATTGCGACATGTTCAAGTTACAAGTTATTTTCGAACCATGTCTCGCTTATCGTGATGACATCAGAAGATTATTGTTCCATCAATCAAACACAAATTATTGAGATTGATACCTTGGTTATTTTAAGATCATGATCTTGAGATGTTTCTTTATTGAGGATATTAAGATGTGCATGCATCCTCGGAGTTGTAGGGGGACTTCGGTGGCGCAGCCGTCAGAGCAAGCGTCTTTCACCTCTGAGATCGTGGGTTCGATTCTCGCTACGGACTCTGGTGAAGAGAGTTGGTCAACGCTCTGCCGACAGTAGTGGGTTTTCTCCGGGCGCTTTGGTTTCCTCCCACAGGGAAAGTTGACAGGGTGGGTTAGGATAAACACAGGAAAGTAATATCTCAATTATTGTAAAGATAAATAGTCTAAGCTATGTAAGTAACTTGAGCGTAATACTCGATGTAATCGGTCACTGAAACGGCCCCAATAGCAACCTCGTTCCCAGACAAGAGGAAAGAGCCTGGGAACGAGGTTGCCCCAAAAGGGAGTGAGCTGAATAATAATGGCCAATAATGTGATGTAATGAGTTGTTTTAACGATAACACACCCGATAAAAGGTAGTTTGAAAGTGAACATTTGTGATATGTTTACGACACAAAAATTAAATCTATTACTCGAGTTTCGCGCCAATTGTGAATTGGCGATCATCATGCAGACTCTAAAAGAGTAACTAAATCTGACAAATCTGTTATTCGAATTATCTCAATTTTGAAAGAGTCCAATGATCGCCACTTCACAATTGGAATAACAACATACATAAACTCGAATAACAAATTACAGATTTTGTTTGAATGCTTTTATTTTAGTCTGCTAAAAAATGTATTATCAGATTTCGACAATGGGGGCAAATATACACATTTCAACAAGCCGTCAAAAACCGGTAATTTAATGCAGGAACCAGCAATTGGTTAGTGCGGTTTCCAACCTGGAAGAAGTGTTAAATGTAAACAATTATACTTTATAGCTAAAAGAAACGACCTTAAAAATGGTACATTTAATAGGACTATTATATTATTTAGCATTCCAATGATTTTTAAAGTGCTCGTGAAGTTTAAAATTAAAGTAATTATACGCACGAAGTGGGTTTTACATTAGTAGTACAGTGTACTCCATTATGCGCTTTTCTTTACTTTTTTATCTGGATGCTTGTCTGCATAATAGGTAATCTGGAAAAGCAATATCCCATTTAGGGACAGCGAGAGAAGGAAGCTTGCGAGGAGGACCATGTCTCCAGTCTCGTGATAAGTTGTAAACACACGTGCCACACATCCGGAGAACATGAGAAAGATCATCAGACCAGACAATTGTCCAGTATGTCCATTACGTACGTTCTCGTATATTTGAAGACACTAAAAGAACAATAACAGACTGTACTGTATATTAAAATGTACGTTGCAAGGGGATGCCCCGGGGACCTTTCAGAGAGACAGGCCTCGGATTAAACGGCTGTATCTGTCGACATCCTGCTTGCTGGCTGCCATGTCCTCGTATGTATTGAAATTCACGGATAGTAATGGCTTGCCCTCCACCTCCCTCCTCAGCACTTTGTAAAATTGACAATTCAATTAATAGGAAGATATTTTGAGGAACTACAAAACGGTGAAATGAGTTGTCAGTTGTTGCGTAATTTTTCTGGTCTTTATTTTCTGGTTTCTTGAAAACTAAAATGGTGTGTTTGGTTAACACTAACCCTATTCCAAACACTAACCCTGATCCTAACCCTACTCCAAGTTTGTTTCTAAACCAATCTTGAAGAAAAACGTTTTGACGAAATGTCATTCTGAGGTCAGCGAAATAACTTCTTCGATCTGTATCTCATGGCTTATGCAACGGACATTTTTTTTGTTAATCTTAATCTTCAGCGAGACTAACCATTGTTACAAATAGACTGGGCGTTGGAGTAATAATTATCCAACGAAAGAGTGATAAGTTCTGATGAATTTCACTTTGTAGTGCAAGTATTAAAGGTATTCTCCTCATATCATTTTATTATTTTAAGCATAGTTAACGGTCGCTAACTTTACGGTTTTGTCTAGGTTTATTGAAAAATATAGCCATTTGTCGTCAAGTGCCTATTCCTTTTCCCAACTAACCCATATTACCCATACAAGAGAGAAGAAGGTGAGGCAGTTCAATTAATTCGGACAAATTAGGCAGGAAGTCAGGAAAATATTTATCAGGCACATTTATCACCAGATGTGCTAAAATCATGGGTACGGATAATATACTATAATTATACATCTATATTATATAACTTCAACATTTTTGCTATTTTACGAAAATATTTATTTGTCACTTTCGTGTTCAGGATGGAAAAACTATTAACAATACTCAGTTTCAGAGAAAACTTTACCTTATACTGTAGGCTTAGGCATATGTGTCAATGTGAACAATTTAAAAGATCCTTGGCTAGTAATTAAAGCCCGCCGCACACGAGCGCACTTGTTGCGCGTACTTGTTATTCGTGACAAGTTGGATCGACAAAATTCCCTCGTGTGCGGGCAACATTTACGGCATTTTCGTCATTCGTGACATGTAAACCAAATATCAAACATGTTTGATATTTTTCTTCATTCGTGACCAAAAAATTCTCGTGTGCGGCGAGCAAACGACAAGCGCGCCTGAATAGGAAAATTTGCGCATGCGTGCAACTTGCAGAATTAAAAACAACATAGCGGATCAAAATCACGAGCACGCATGCGCACATTTTCCTATTCAGGCGCGTTTGTCGTTTGCTCGCCGCACACGAGAATGTTTTGGTCACGAATGACGAAAAATATCAAACATGTTTGATATTTGGTTTACATGTCAAGAATGACGAAAATGCCGTAAATGTTGCCCGCACACGAGGAAATTTTGTCGATCCAACTTGTCACGAATAACAAGCACGCGCGACAAGTGCGCTCGTGTGCGGCGGGCTTAAGGGATGGCCGGTCCAATTCTACCACTACACAGAAATTTAGCATTGCACGAATTATCCAGTATAACCAAAATAAAGTTACTGCGTTACTTACTTTACTAAATGATATAATAGGCAAGACACCAACTTGCATTGTAGTATGAACGTCTATTGGTACCACGCCACAAGTTAATACATAGACAAATACTGCATACACAACTGGAAATATTACAGCACCAGATATGATGCCATTGTAATAATAGCTCAAAATTATAAGAATAGTAGTTTGAATACTCATGAAAGATGTTTCTCCCCATGTACTACAGAAACAGAAAATTAATAATTAGATATAATTATAAGAATTACAATTAAATCGGCTATCAGCCGTTTTATAATACATTCATATACAGTAGACTCTTGTATTACAATATTTCGACAGTTTTTTCAGCCACAACGTGTGTTGCAGCTTTTGTAATGTGTTTGTTTTATTAGTATTAATACTGTAAATCTTCAGAAATGATGAAAAGGAAAGAATTATTACACTGGCCTGTAGGCCAAGTGTCTTAAATCCCTCTTTTTCTGTTTTTTTTTTCGTAGTCGAGAAATCGAGTTTGCGTTAGGTCATCTCAGGGTGCAACGTGCTCCAGTGACATATTCAGTTCAGTTTCAAAATGGCGGCTTTTCACTGAGCGATCTAACTATATTCCACACAGTTTCGTTGAATTTTCAAAGAATTGTGGATTTTACGTTGTGTCGCACTCTGGCCTTTCTTGCGTGTTGAATTAGTGTGTTTTTCTTTGTGTACAATATAGAGGAATATAAACAAGGACAAGTTAAAGGTTTGACAGTTTGACTTTTTAATTAACAAGTATACATGTATATAAATATACGTTGTAGGCTCATAAACATGCGTTGTGCTCTTGTATTCATTTTCGTAAGTATAGATTTGCACCTAATTACATTAATTTGCACCAAATATCTTTCCAATTCATCATATATTTATACTATAAAATGTATGTTTTCGATCGTATTCAGCGAGGTGGCATTGCGTGCGGCGAAGTGAAACGTGGTACTGTTCGATTTGTTTTTGGAACAAGATCCAACTTTTCCCCCCACTTTCTTAATTCTCAAATTGTTTATTAGTTTTTTTAATACTGGTTGGGGTTAGAGAAGGACTTGGGGTTGGGATCAGTTTATCTTATAAATGGAAGCAAATTGGCATATTTTTTAGAATGAAATGAAGTTTTTTGAAATGATCTGATGAATGAATGAATGAATGAAGTGATCATATTTTTAAAAATGAAATGATCAAATCTAGCACTGGAATCCTCTTAAAAGGATATCTTAAAGTCTTCAATGCCATTTTAATATCCGGACACTTTCCAGAATCGTGGTGTGAAGGCATTATAACTCCAATATTTAAATCAGGAAACTCTTTAGATCCCAGCAATTACAGAGGAATCTGCGTATCTAGCTGTATGGGCAAATTATTCTGCTCAATTCTGAATACTAGATTAGCATGTTATACTAAAGAAAAGAAATCAATACACCCTACGCAAATAGGATTTATTTCTGGAAACAGAACAGCAGACCACATTCTCACACTAAAAACATTACATGATAAATATGTAAAACAAAGTGAGAATGGAAAGATATATGCATGTTTTGTTGATTTTAAAAAAGCGTTTGACTCAATCTGGCATAAAGGCTTATATTTAAAACTACTTGAAAACGAAATAGGAGGACGCTTTTACGAACTAATTAAAAACATGTACTCGAAAACAAAATGTGCCATCAAACTATCAGACTATAGAACATCATTTTTCCAATATAAGAAAGGCGTACGTCAAGGTTGTATATTAAGCCCATTATTATTTAATATTTATATTAATGAATTACCACAACTTTTCGAAAAAACACAATCAGATCCTTTAGTATTCCCAAATGGAACCGCAATAAATAGCCTTTTATATGCTGATGATCTTATCATCCTATCACGATCTAAATCAGGACTTCAAAACTGCTTGAATAAACTTCATAATTGGTGCAAAAAATGGCTAATGGAAGTAAATATGAAAAAAAACAAAAATCATGATCTTCCAAAAACATAACTCTAAAATTCCAAAACTGAATTTTTCTATTGGTAACAATACTGTTGAAATTACTAAAGAATATACTTATCTTG